TGGGTGCTGCGACCATTGTTCCCGGCGCCCCCTGCTCCATTCCACCAGTTCTGATGTCTGAAGCCCACCGTGCCGCTCCTCTCCCTGCTTTGCTGGGGCAGCTGATTTCTCTCCCCGTCCCCCTGCACCTGCGTCTTGAGACCTCTCCCCGCCTCCCTTCCCCTCCTTCCTGATCCATGATTCCAGACTACCCCTAAGATGCTAAGGCAAGGCCCTTTCCTTCTCCTGGCTGCGTCCATGTCGTATTTCAACCCGGAGAAAGCTTTGGCAGCGCCTTCGGAAAATGGTGAGTTTGGGCAGGTGGCAAGGGCTTCTTGGGCATCCTTGCCAGCGGCCACCCCCTCACCCGTCTTGCTCCTGCTTGCTGTTGCCTCTCGCCCAGCCATCTGTGGCCACCTGTTTGTGCAGCTAGGTAACTGGCCTGATGGACCTGATCCCCACCCCCTTCAGGGGGCCAAGTGGGGACAGCGATTGGGTCAGGGGGTTCTTTCCAGACCAGGTGGGGAGGGGGCACCTGGGTTATAAATTCCATTCTCAGGGACAGCTGGGATTCCAATACAGAGCAAATACATCAATCCTGGGATTTTGTCAGATGCCTTAAAACAGCGGTGGTGTTCCCCATCCTCTTCCCCAACCCTCCCCTGTGGAGAAAATTGAAGCCACCCCCTAAGGCAGTAGAGGCAGGGCAGAAATTATTTGGAGAAAGAGGGATATTTTTGTACACGATCCCTGAAAAGGGGTCCAGAGTCGTTCCATGTTAATGGAGATGAGGATAAATATTTTCTTACAAAGAAAACAAAGTGATGGGGGGGGGGAGGAATTTCTGAGAGGTGGGTGTGAGATTTATGCCTGACAGGTCAGTGACATCCAGAGATACCATCTGTGTTTGATCTGACAGTCATCAGTGGAAAGTGGGAGACTCAGTTGGGATGCACCCTTGGCATTGGTGAAAAGGTATTACGTGGGGCTCATTGAGGGCTTTGTGTAAGGATGGAGTATGTCTGAAATGGAGAAGATGATGAAAGGTTTCATGACTGGAAGAAGAGTATATTGAAGAAGGACCAAATGGGAGATTAGGTACAGAGATAAATTGATAGCTATGTGTTGGTGGGAGGTTTAGGGGAAACATGAGTTCGCTGGACCTGGTGTTCAAGGAGGCTTTGGCAGACCTGGGTTCAACCCTCAGATCCACCATTAACTTGGTGGATACCTTTGTGGGAACTATCATTTTCAGGCTGTGTGAAATAGGTGCAATTAAGACTGTCCTAATAGGGTTGGTATCTGGTGTACATGCAATAATTAGGACTAGGAAGTACCTGTGGGAAAAAAACTACCTAGCCCATGTCCAAAAAAATGTGGTCCACTTGATGGATTTTTGGTCTGACTCACTGGTCCCTTACCTCCTCTGATATAGGAATAACTTCAAATATTAATACCCAAGAATAATAGTTCTCAAATATTAGTACTCAATCTAATCATGCTGCAAAAACTCAAGAATTTTGAGGCATGGTTGGATTATTAAAGGATTGTGAAATTGCCAGTTGCTTCATTCTAGGAGATTGCAGCATGTTTATTATTGCAATAAGCTGCAAAGGTGTTTTCCTATAATTTATAATCAAAGCTATCTCCACTCCCCCTTCTTGACAATTCAGTTTGCTCTGATGTATTATCCTTCTACTTCCCCACCTCTACCTTTGTCTCTCCTTCTATATATCTGGTGTCATAATGCAGGCTGGAAGTCCACATATGTCACACTAGTTGCCATTGGCTTACTTGCTCTGATGCCAGAAAGGGCAGGCAGTCATGGGCCAAGTGTTAAGGATGGCTTAGTAGATTGTGCCTCTGATGTTGTCTTCAGGAAACAAAAGTTGATGACTCCCTAGGGAATGAAAAATGTGCTTTTCAAGTCTCAGCAAAGTCACTTAGTTTGTTAGAGGAAGCTGAGGCTATAACAACCTTCCCCAATCTGATCTCCTTCATCTCCCATAATTTACAGCCAGCAGTGCCTTTGAAGGTAGAAGCCCAACATGTCTGTCCCATGGTTATATGACACGGTGGGATAGATGACACCTCTGCTTTACTAGCAAATGTTCCTTGTCACTAACTGCCAAGCCTTCACATAAGCAACAACAAGAAACTTGTAGCCTGTTACATTGTCCTACAGGAACAAGGTGAATTCCCATTTCTGACATAACTTTGTCCATGCATAATGGAAAATCCAGTGTAAGCAGCCAGAGGCCTCAGAATATGAATTTGAATGTAATAAATAAAAAATAAGTACATGCCTAGGTACCAGATCATGATATGGAGGCTGGTCTCTAGAAATGTGACTGTGTGCCTAATTTTAGTACCATCCGATTAAATTGTTGTTTCTATTTCCAAAGATATCTAAGCTTTCTGGGAGAGAGGATAACATTTCCCAAGAAAAATACAATTCTGTAGATTCTTTGAGGGAGAAGGCAGGATAATGAAACAGTTTCCAATGTAATGTTTCTAATGTAGGTATGTACTGTTTTCAGAATGCTTTGGCAAAATCTGAAAATCTCATGTATGCAACTTGAAGTTGGTGCTTTTCGTTCACGTCATTTGACAGAAGGATTGTGAATGGTTAGAAGAGGATGGATAAAGCAAAGGGTGGAAGAGATAAAAGAATACAGAATGAGCACATGAAAATTGTCTGGTGAAAAGCACTTGCATAATGGGGCAAAGGTTGTAGTTTACTGGGTTAGAAGATGCCACCTCCTTTTAAAAATCATTTTTAATCTTAAAAGAGATTTCTCATTGTGCTTTGATGAGAAGTGTTTGTGTGGAGCAAGTCTCCAAGTGTGGATTTGAACCCAAAGGCCTTCTGGGAAAATAAAGATGGTGGTGGATCTTACAGCCACAATCTCAGAGCTTCTCTGCTTTGCTCAGCATCTCCCTCTGCTGTGTACCATGGGCTGGTACATTTCCATGAAGAAGTAGGGGCAAAGTTGTGGCATTCAGCCTGGCTCTCAGGAGCGAAGCACTGAGTGAAATAAATGCATCAGTCACCATCATCTTTAATTGGTGGGGTAGAGGATAGTGTGTTCAAGGCCCTTAAAACTTAGTGTTCATCTTACATTGGCAGCTGGAAGAATATAAGGCAATATAAGCTTGGCCCAAGACATTTTGTTGCCTGAAGTGAAGGATAAAATGGCACCCCACATTCAATTATTTATTTGTCTTTTTATTACAGGTAGTCCTCAACTTATAACCATTTGTTTAATGACCGTTTGAAGTTATGATGGCACTGAAAAAAGTGACTTACGACTGGTCCTCATGCTTACAACTGCCACAGCGTCCCCGGGGTCATGAGATCAAAATTCAGGTGCTTGGCAACCAGCATGTATTTACGACAGTTGCAGCATCCTGGGCTCATGTGATTGCTTGGCAACTGACATGTATTTACGACATGTCCCCACAATGACGTGACCATGGGGACACTGCAGTGGTCATAAGTGTGAGGACTGGCTGTAAGTCACTTTTTTCAGCGCCATCGTAATTTTGAACGGTTGCTAAATGAATGGTCATAAGTCGAGGACTACCTGTACTGACATTTCCATGCCACTCCACTGCAAGTGACTCTGTTGGCATACCACAGAAACAGAGATTAAAAAGAACAGAACAAACAGAAAATAATTTAAACCATAATGGTGTACTCCAATGGGGGCAGATGCCAAACGTAACATTCCCCAGATGCTCTCTCCCAGAGCCAGGTTTCACATCTCTGCAGAAGCTCATCAGGGAAGTAGCAAGCCATAGATATGGGGGCATGTTATTCCACAAGAGGGGTACCACCATGGATAAGACCCTATTGGGAGGTCCTGCTGATGGAATTCCTTAGGGGACAGGACCTTCAACATTGGCTCTCTCCCAGATTTTTTGGGATGGAAGGTGATCAAGGCAGTAGGTGATGTTTGCTTAAATAATGGCAATGAGCACCATCTTCTGTCATGCCTGCCAACTGCATAGTAACTTAAAGAAAGCAGAGCTGGGAATCTAGTCCCTATAGCTCTGTCTACAAACACTTCACAGGTGCTCCTTGGCTTTTGCTGCCTGAGACAACCTCTTCATATTGCCTAACAACAGGGCCAGACTTGGGGTGGAAGGACCATGGGGCCAAAACAGAAAATGGGAAGAACATGTTGGTCAGAAGATAAATTCTAGCAGTTGGAGTAAAGAAGTATTCGTGGCAATTCATGGAAGTATGGAGTTAGGAGAAGACTGTATCATCATCATCATAATTATCATCAATTTATATCTTGCCTTTTGGCCTTTCCACAAGCTAATATGAAGCTGGAACAATAATCATTGAAGGATAGTTCATGGAAAGAAAAAACTGCTGCTCTTCCTTAACATTTGCCTTCCATCCTTTCATCAGTTTGTATCTCAGCTTTACTGAGCGATTCTGAAAAACATGAAACTTCACTTACTAGTTCAGAACATTTTGGTTGGTCCTCATATTACCTGCTGTTTCCTACCAGGCAAACATAGGTACCTATAAATGTTGTTTTAAGATGTGTGTCCTATTTTGCCCTTTGTATCTTCTCTTCAGATGGATTGTCTCAGGGCCGGGCTCCCCTGGCCCCTCCCTATGCTGTGGTCCTGATCTCCTGTTCAGGCTTGTTGGCCTTTATCTTCCTCCTCCTCACCTGCCTGTGCTGCAAGAGGGGTGATGTGGGTTTCAAGGTGAGCTAGATGGTGGGGATGGGAGGTGGGCATGATGTGTTTCCAAAAGACAGATCTTTAAATAATGCTTTGCATTCTGTTAAATATAGGTATTATAGCATCCAGACTCAGGACTTGGGTGGCACAGTGTGACATTATGTAAGATGTGGAGATGCTGTCAGACTTCTTTGAAGTATCTGGCTTTCCCCTCCTTTTCATCTTTACATTTGCCTTTGTCTATCTGACAGGAATTTGAGAACCCTGATGGAGAAGAATATTCTGGAGAGTATACACCACCTGCAGAGGAGACTTCATCCTCCCAGTCCATCCCAGATGTCTACATTCTGCCTCTTTCTGAGGTTTCGCTCCCATCCTCCAATCAACAGATGCCCAAAACAGGTACATCCCCTGAGGGAAGGGGGTCATACTATTGTACTCCTCTTCATTTGTGATACCTTCTATATTGCCCTTGCTCTTTAGAGAAAGCAAAAGGTTAGAGTGCAGGCAGCACTTGCTACAATTCCTTGGGAGAATATACCAGTGCAGTTCTATGCCTGCCATTCCCAACCTGATGTCCTTCAGATGTGTTGGATTACATTTCCCACCATCTGAATCTTGAAATAATGGGAGCACCAAGTTGGGGAAGGCTGCTTATACTGACACTGTTGATTTTCATGACCCACTGGCTTATGCAGTGATCCTTCCTGATCTCCATATCTCCCTCAATTTCACCTCAGTTTCATTTTTGGAAATCCTAGGAATTCTGTCCCCTATCTACTTTTGCTTTAACTGAGACCATCTCACCCTCTTTCATCTCATGAGCACTTTCCCACAACCATTTCCACATAGTCTGACTGCAGTGGCTTCTTGTAGACACGTCTGGAGGGTATCATACTGTGGAAGGCTGCACTAGCTTATCTCACTCCACCATTTTTTTTGTCTAATAGCTTTGGGGCATGGGGAGAGTCAAAATGGAGCTGACTCTTAGCCTGTGACCTCTGAGCTGCATCCTTGACTCCCATTATTGGAACACTATATTCCTCTTTCAGATTTAGTGAAACACTTGGGACTCAGTAGACAACATCTCAGTTATCTGCAGGAGATTGGAAATGGCTGGTTTGGAAAAGTGAGTAAGAAAATTTCAGTTTTTTGTGGATATGATTTAAGAATGGAATTCAGGGAATTGGTTCCAGACTTTCCAACAAGAGTTGGCTTGAGTCCTATAAATGGGATAGCAATGGGCAAATCACAGAAGATACAATACACCACCAAATCTTTCACTTATTATGATTACTTTTAAACAACTATATAACGATACCCTTCAGAAAAACTTCCAGAGTAGTTGGCGACAAAATAACAAGATGCAAGGGCATTTTACACATTTGTGAAGTCAAATTCTAACAAGGAGTTAAAAAACAGCAGCCAGCTAAACAAGAAAGCTCAACAATTAATTGCAAATTGCAAAATTTAACGCGGAAAGTAAAATCGCTAGGTTACAGAAAAAGGCCTACAGCAAGCAAGAATTTCTTTCGTCGTTAGAGGTTGTAGTCAGCAGCCTTTCTTTTGGACAGACAAGGAACCATGATTGCAAAGGCTCTGTGCTCAGTCTTTAGTTGACCAAGCTTCTCCCAACCACACCCAGAGGCTTACTGGGGGAATATAAACTGAGGTTCTGGATGGGAGATTGGAGCTTTCAAAGCTGATCACACAACTTTTGGCAGGTTTGGCAACAATCAAAGGAGAAGAGCAGGGAAATATAAATTCATAGTTCCTACATTATTAAACCTAACATTCACTGGCTGTGATCTAGAGCCATTTTACTTTCTAAGAACTAGAAAAAGTCTACTTTCTCAGCTTGCTCATGAAGAAAGAAAAATTACCTATTCAAAAATACATTAGACCTGAATACTTTGAGGCACTATTTCTCCTTTGCCTTCTTGTGTCTTCCTTTTTTGCTTCTCTTATTATAAAAGTAATCTTTCAGCCGCCCAGGAACCAAGCTGTTTAGGGTTGTATAGATAATTAAATTGTACCTGGAAATCAATTGGCAGTCAGTGAGCTCATTAATGACTTTAATGACTAATGAGATATGATCTATATAGTCAGTTAGCCAAGTTATTAACTAGGCACCGGTATTTCATGGTGGTTTCTGTTTTTTTGTTTTTTGTTTTTTCTGTTTCATAGGTTATTTTGGGTGAAATATTCTCAGATTTCACCCCTGCACAGGTGGTGGTGAAGGAGTTGCGTGTGAGTGCCGGGCCACTGGAACAGAGGAAGTTCTTGTCAGAGGCCCAGCCTTATCGGTAAGAAGCAGAAGACACTAACATGAGGGGGAAAAACAATGTGGGGTAAGGAATCTCCATATGAAATATTTGTGTCAGTGCTGCTGCAACTATGCCAAGGGAAGGGCCCCAAATGATAAACTATTTTTATCTCTACCTCTTTTTCTCAATTGTTTTTCTCTTTACTGTATCACTATGGATATAGAGCCCTATCATACTGCTGGACAAGGTATTCTCAGTTGAGGAAAACTCAGCCTGGGAAGCAGGGGGCCTAGGAAAACCAAGCTGGAGGATACCCCGCTAAATGTTCCTACTTCTCTAAGCAGAGTTCTGTTGCTGTCAGGCCCAGCCCAAGAACAACGATGAAATGGTCCAGTCGAGTACAGTTCCTTTATTTGCTTACACCTCAAAGACAAAATCTTGCCAAACTAAATCTATACTACAGCAACTAGTGGATGTACCCTGGGAGATTCTAGGGAGTGGCTACCCTGAAACTCTTTCTCTTCCCACACTCCCCCTGCAGACTGGGTTGCCTTTTGTCTCCTTTCCCCTGCCGGAATGCACCCCCTCCCTCCTGATAGCCTTGATCTCCCCCTCGTAGATACAGTCCATCACATCTGCAGCTCAGAAGCCTCCTTTCTGGCAATTGCAGAGCTGTTGGAGACTGGGGCTGCTGCAATGAGCTGCTACCAAATTGTAGGTTACGGCAGAGAACACGGAGGAGCTGTCCAAGAATAGAAGCAGGGATTTTCTTCTATGTATGTCAGGACTCACTGAGATTCTTGTCTGGTCATCCAGAAATACTTATCCCTTTCTCCTGCTCTTTCTGCGTCTCTCCCCATGTCTCCACCTTGCCTTCAAGAAGCCTCCAGCACCCAAACATACTACAATGCCTCGGCCTATGCACAGAGACTATCCCCTTCCTACTGATCATGGAATTCTGCCAACTGGTAAGTCAACTGGAGCCCAAGTGAGAATCAGATCTGAGAATCACTGAAGCCAAATCCTGTTGTCATGAATCTGGAATACCCAGTGCATCAGTGCTCTGCAAAATAGGGAGCTGGCTTTCCATGTAGGCACAGTTGTGTAGAATATTAACCTCATCTTTTTCTTTAATTACATCTTACTTTTAAAACAGTGAGGAGCCTGCAGTAACTGTGAGAAGACCATATCCTACACAGCCACCCTGCTACCTGATTACCATAGCTGTGACCTGAAAGTTGCAGGGCAAACTGTAAAACAGACTCCTAAGTCCTTAAAAAATACAAAATGAAGTCAGAGTTGGTGTGTCCTTATCAAATAGGTTGTGTGGCTTTATTAATATATTTAAATAAAGAGGTCTGAGAGGTCAGTGCTTGCTACATAACTTCCAAATAGGCTTTGTGATGTTATCACATAGTCAAATCTACCTGGCGTTTTCATTAAGTCCGTTTAGAGTGAGAGCAGGACGTATGGACAAAGTGAGCTTTGAATGGAAATAAGCGTATCTTGGGTTCTTCAAAAATGTCTGGATAATTTTCGTGGATTACAGACAACGCGGTGCTAGATTTGCAAACTTAGTCACCTTCTTCTCTCTTGGTGTTCCCCCCAGGGAGATCTGAAACGTTACCTGCGAGCTCAACGCAAAGCAGATGGAATGACTCCTGACTTACTGACACGTGACCTCAGCACATTACAGCGCATGGCCTATGAAATCACGCTGGGAGTGCTGCACTTGCATAAAAACAACTACATTCACAGGTAAGGATGACAGGTGGACATGCGGACCTTTGCAGCTTCGGGAAAGAACGTGTGGACCAGGGTGCAATAGAAACTGAGGCAAGTGTGAGCTTTAGAATTTCACAATTTTAGCTTAAAATGGAAGTTGAAAATTTTTGGAGACTTCCAAGGGCAAGTTCACTTGATGACTGCCTGATCATAAAGGGTAAAGGATGAATAAAGATGTGAACCTTCCTATAGGTAAAAAATATGCTGGGACATCATAGTGTTATAGCACTATGCCTCTGTCTAAAAAAAATGTACAGAAAAGGGGTGGGGGGTGGAGTTAGGATGATTCAAAAATTGGTCAATTTTTTTGATCAGAAATGATTAAAAAACACGACCAAAAAAGAGCAGCCAAATCTTATAACAAAACTGTTCAGTAGTTTAAACATGGCTTTAAAAATGCCCCCAAAGTGGAAGGAATACATTGAGGTTCCTGCCTGAAAAAAGATAAACCTTCCTGTGATGTAAGATATACCACAAATACCATTGATGTAAAAAATGCTATTTTTTAAAATACTATGGAATTTCCTATACCGAGATCCAGCTAAGAAAAATCACATATAGTCAGGTCTGTATGTGAGTATCCATGTTCAGGTCCCCCATTAAGCAGAAAGCTTGTTTGGACAGCCACTGACTACTAAACTGGATTCTGAAAAATTTTAACTAAGAACAAGCAGGCTGCCATGTCATGGAACTCAACCTATTCTCTCCTGCTTCTTCTTCAAGTGCAGCGTTTCTCAACCTTGGCAACTCTAAGATGTGTGGACTTCAGCTCCCAGAATTCCCAACCACCATGCTGGCTGGGGAGTTCTGGGAGTTGAAGTCCACACATCTTAGAGTTGCCAAGATTGAGAAACATTGTTCTAGTGTATGATCAGCTATACAAATCAGGCTTTTTAAAATATATTGTTCAAATCCAGTATTCTGCCTTGTTCATTTTGCAAGCCAGAATTGGTACTGTATACCAAGAACAGGCCATCATTTACAATCCTGTATGTAAAGAATGCAAAAAGCAAAGATGCTGGGTTTGGATGACCCATTAAACAAAACACCCCTGGTTTATTTAGTCCAGGGCTTGGGTACCTGAAGCTCTCCAGAAGTTATTGAGAACGATATCTCCCAGCATCCCTTACCATTGATTATGCCGACTGGAGTAACTGGGAGCTCTGTTTTAACAATTAAGAAGGGCCGAGGTTCTGGTTAGAGAGACAGTTTGGTGTAGTGGTTAAGGCATCAGGCTAGAAGCCAGGAGACGAAGCCAGAGGGGTGACTTTGGGCCAGTCCCTCCCTTAGCTAGGAAGCAGGCAAGGTCAAACCACTTCTGAAATCTTGCCAAGAAAACTTCATGGACTGGTCCAGGCAGTCGCCAGGAGTCAATACTGACTTAAAGGCACCCAAAAAAAAAAAAAAATTCTGGTTAATCAGCCAAACTCCTAGGAGGGTTAAGAAAGTGAACAGGTCTCCTAGCAAGATTCTGTGGAATCCTGTCTTACCATTCTAGGGGATCCCAACCCTTCTAGAGGATCCCAACCTTTTTATCTTTGTAAGTTATTGTGAGGATAAAAAGGTGTCCTCTGAGTTCTTGAAGGAAATATGGGTTACCCTCCCCCCAAAAAACCCCATAACAAAAAGCAACTTTTATCCTCACTATGTATGTTGAGAATGTTTATTATAAGAAAGAGTGAAAAATGGGAGAGTCTCCCTCTTCACCTATCTCAAAGCCATGCTAACTTAACTCTTGTCCTCCACAGTGATCTGGCACTTCGGAACTGCTTGCTGACCTCAGATCTCACAGTGAGGGTTGGGGACTATGGCCTATCACACAACAACTACAAGGTATGGGGTGAAGGTACCACAAACAATCTAGGGTGGGTTTGAAAGGAGTCTTAGGCAATGGGTAGACGTGGCAATTTATTCTTTGCAGAATGTTTCAAAGTCCTCTGCAAACAGGACTAATTCATTGTGAGATTAAACTTTTTTTTTTTTAAGGAAATCATTATGAGCAGTTTAATTTAGAGCAAACTAGTATATAATTTTGCATGGGGCTTAGAGAGAACTCTGTAGTGGGTATTAGTTGAGAAGCAGAGCATCCTGAAAACCTCACGAGATCTATGAAATGGTGGAGGCTCTGCAACTCAATTTCTGTCCTGTGCCATTTCTCATTTCTGTTTCATAGGAAGATTATTACATCACTCCAGACCGGCTCTGGATCCCTTTGCGTTGGGTTGCCCCAGAGCTGTTGGATGAGATGCATGGAAGTCTCATTGTCGTGGATCAAACCAAGGAGAGCAATGTCTGGTGAGTCCCAAGGATGTCTCTTGGACTGGGGAAATGCAATTTGTTTTCTTAAGCAGGGATATACCTTCTACCTGGGCTAAAGCTGAAACAAACATTTCCAGGGAAATACTCCTCAGTGTTTGCAAACATTCATCCAGTACAGGCATCTTCACTAAACCACAGTGATGCCACAATGGTAACACATGTGCAGCGATGTCTCCTGGGAATCCTTGGTAGATTAAGCAGCATACAAACTGAATGAATGAATGAATGAATGAATGAATGAATGAATGAATGAATGATAATGTAAATGCTGCACTACTGTATACTGATGCAAATATGCAAGTTGTGGCATTTGTATGATCA